ATGAACCCAACAACACTGACATGCAATTTAAAAAAAACTTACTTTCTATGAAACTAACGTGTTTAGACAGATTAAACACCAAGTTCAAAACAACCGTTGATTTTGATATTTATTGTCATATTTTATTGTACTGTCAGTTAACATACATTTGATCAAAATGGATTTCTATCACTTCAGAGGCTAACAGATCCCAAGGATAAACAATATTTATCACTAAATAGTTTTGTAAACTTATAGTCAGCTTTTAATATAGATTTAATCACACTATTTATCGAAAGTTTATTATTGATTAGCCATAATGTGAAGAAAACGTTCATGACCTAATTAATCATATATTTAAAAAATTTTAAATACTACTTAAAGCGTCAATAAGGATTTCACTCCATATTTTCGTAACTTGATTAATTGAATTAGATTAAATGAAAGAAAGAAATAATATGACATTACTTACTACTCGATATCTCATCTGTGTAACTTATTAGTTCCATAAAAAGTAAGTTGTAAATTGTATGTCACAATTGTTTTGTTACTGAGAGTGAGATGAAGTGATTTTAGGTTGAGTCACTATGTATCATTGGTCCCACCAAGATTACCAAAATCACTTCTCCTTTATAAGATTTTCAATAGTTACAGTGATATAGACTATAGTTAATTTTTTTGTTACACCCCAATGAGTAGAATAATTGTTTTTCTGACATTTCGTGACTTAATGTAAGCCACTTCTTCAATATATATATGTATTATTAACTCTTTATCCAATGCTCAATTTACTTGAAACCATCATGTACAACCTTGGTATTGATAACAATAAACTCATTATTAGTTGGACTTACAGTTTTGCTTGGATTAAACACAATTTTTTATGCAAATGTATGTATTACACCATGAAATATTGATTAAACCGCCTATTATCTTTCTTATTCAGCAAGCAACTTTGAAAGTGGTTCAGACACAAATTCACTACTATCGTTGTAATTAACATACTAACAACATAAATCATTGATTGTTCCATAATCAAGACTTTTCATTGACATATGATCTAATAAATTATTTACTGAAAGACTATCCTTGTTTACTACAACTTGGGTGGGACTAGATATTATTTGAACACAGATATTATTCTATAATGAAACATCAAATTTATAATAATCCTGAGTACATTTATATAAATAAACTGTATAAATGGAAGATTCCTGGCTATAATTTTGTCAACTCTAAACGTTTATCCACTGTTGGAGATCTAAGTAGATTGTCAATATGCTTCGCTAATGCCCTTTTAAATAGATGATAGGATCGAAATGGTAATATTCCCATTAACCAAGCTGTAAATTAAAGTAATCAGTAGTCACTTATTTCTAATGTGTACCGATATACGTTCATTGTATAGATGAAGGAAACACTTTTAAATAATTTAAATAACAAATTACTCGTCTTGAAAACTAACTTCAAGATAAGAGCTTTACGTTCTGTAGGATATCGTGTATTTCTTAGGGTATATAAACTGAAACACTTAGTGAATAAAGTGTTTCAGCTGTAATATATATGAGAAACTAGAACACCCTGGGAAACGTTGTTCAACTTAGATTATTTTGAGGATTGCCATCAGACAAAGACACGACAAAAACCTATTTCAAAGTTAATCAATTTAATACTGATATTATGATACTATAAACTTTAAAACTCGATTTCAACTTTGTTTAACTAACATATGCTGCAAGCTGTTTACATTAATGAAAAACATTATCAATATCTGATTAGTCTGTTTACGATAATGGTACGGTTTTGAACCAATCACTAAAAAAGATTTAATACAAATTGATAGTAAGATCACATTTACTGCAATAAATAGTGTACATTACATATTGTTTAGCTATAAAATAATTAAATTCTTTAGGCTGACTTATATCATAAATTGACTTTAGCTAGACATTCACTGAGAGATATCAAGCCTATGAAACTTGTTCGATCCTAACATAGAACTTCTTAGTAATAAAACACCTAGCCCAACGATTTATCAAGTTACTTTAATGCTTATAATTGTAGAATGATATCAGTAGAATCTTAAACGTCATGTTTTGTATAAATTTAATGTTCACCAATTTTATTCGCTTTAACTTAAATAGTAAGAAATACATTACTTTGTGATTTGTTTTATTTATAATTGTTGAAATAAAGTGATGACAATACAATTTCGTTTAAGCTCATATCAACTTTGATCTAATGAAGGAAATAATGTATCCGATTACATTTCTAAAATTTTCTGAATGTTAATTATTTCTAAGGAAACGCCCTGAAATTCGCTTTTTTCATTAAAAGATTTCGATTTCATGACTGTATATTTTATTTGTTACATCACTCTAGTAATTATTGCGTTTTTCGTAATCATGATAATTACGTATTCTAGTCAAACTTACAATACTTTACATTTATCTCACTGTTATCTATTTTTATAAATACAAACATTGTCTGGATTGTAGTGTCCAATGTAAGTGCAAGAAAAGTCCTTCACTTAACCGAATTGAGAATGTTCATATCTAACTAAATCTATCAACAGATGATTTTAGTTCTTGGGTTGTGGAGATTGTTGAGTTTCATTCATATCATGAACCAACCTAAGGTAGATCACTATTCAAAACCTAGAAGCACCGGACGGCCATTTCTTCGTAGTATCGAACTCCATGGTAGTGCGCATCCATGACCCCGCACGTGAGAATGCAACTGACAACCTTTGGTCCTGTAGCCAGTGAAGCTGAACTAGGTAATTATGAGACAGTTGCCCACCAAATACGACGAATGATGCTTGGGCAATATGGTGAACTTATTGAAGTTAGACATTGATATCTTTCGATGCCGAATCAGTGTTCTGGAGGTTAAGCGTTAGCGTGCTGGTTCGAAGTTCTTGAGTTTAATTACCGGGATGTTCACTGGCCAGGACAAAACGGCCGTTTAGCGCTTCTAGGTTCTATAATATTGATCTAACTTAGATCGGTTCATGGTCTCAATTAAATTATTTTAAGTAAATAACAGCCACAGATACCTCAGAAGGAATAACTAGATGATGGTTATTAAATCATTATCTGTTCGCTAATAATAGGGATAGAGAAACAAAATCCTTACATTTTACTATTTACTATGCTTTAAATAATACAAACAATAGACTTCGATATTAAAAAGCAATTCAAGTATTAAATGAACAGAATTTACGAAACAGGTAAAATAGAATATAATGCACCGAGATACTGTTCCGATAAAGATAAACCCTACAGTTGGCATCGCGGAATCCTTTTGAGTGTAAAACTGAGATTAGATATCATAACTAGTCTGTCGCTATTCCATAATTAATAAGCTGTAATAATAGCTTTTAATGCTTAAAACAAAGTTCAAATTAAGTTTTGTTGTATCGTAGGACTTCATTCATTGAAACATATAAATTCCGCTCATATTGTGATCCTGATTAATATTACTGATACGAAGAGACTTTTCTCCAGTTGATCTGTATTCAGCTCATATACCTAAAACATCTCATGCAGTCATGTTTCAAAAGTAAGCCGTACTAATAGCCAAATCATACATATAGCATTCAATTGTTAATCTGATTGTTATATTAAAGTAAACGAACAGAGATGATTTAATAATATCGACATTAAACTAAAGGTTCTTTAAGTAGTCTGAACAATGCATCAACTTTTATTTGTATTTAACAAAGAAATTTACTTTTGTCACTTATTTGCATGCAAGAATTTAGAACTTTTATTCCTGTAATTATAAATACAAGTACACTTATATACTAGAAATATAAGAGGTCATATTTGTTAGCAAGACATTTGTCAAGTACCTGTTAATCTTAAAACACTTCAAGATGGGGACAAATATATTTGTTTGTTTCATAATTGTGTCATTTGATTCTCAGTATAACTGTTTGTTCAATTAACAGAAGACGAAATCTAGTAGGGTTCAGCAGGAGATTAAGAATCGGTTGAATGAATAATTATGCGTTTGAAAATTATTCACCATCACATAGTTTGGAAACCTTAAAATATCTCATTTAAGGATAGAGATGAACTCATGAAATGACAATTGTTATAACACCTCCAACATGCAAATTTAAATCAATAAATATAACTTAATGAGGGATCAGTCTATCCTAGGATTTACCACAACCTATTAAAGTTTTAATTTCGTGTCATAATTTTTTTTATTGTTAGACTTCATCTGTACCTCTGAATATAGTGACTAAAAGATATCATTAATAAACAGCAACTTGGAACTTATTGGCTTTCTGTTTTTCCAAGATCCTGATTTTATTTTTCACACAATTACCTCAATGGACTGTATGACAGCTGATATTAGGATGGCTGTGACATTTTGTATTTACTCCCAACGAAAATTTTTTAGAGTATGACCATAAACAATAAAAAATGTAATAATTGGTTTAAACGCTATTGAGATATATGACCAATATATCAAGGTTCACTCTTTATTTTACCCAAATATACAAAAATATAGCATTTTGAGAAACAAATTATCGAGCTTGAATCTAAACTAGTAATAGAGGGATTATTAGATCTCATCGTTATCAAAAACGCAATAATTGCACAAACAATTAACTTTTGTATCCATTTTAAAGCAATAATAATTGTCTACATTGTTACTAAAATCATTATTATTATTAAGTCACAAGTTTAAGGAGTCCAGTGGGAAAAAAATTCAAGGTTTTTTATTGATATGGGGGCAAGTGCGAATAATCAGTTTAAATCATAATTGTTTAAATGTGTCATTTATTTGGTATCCATTTTCAGTCTTGATTTTGTTTTAATTAAATAGATCAGCTTAATTGTTTTACTAAGAAAAACCTATTACATTTGACAATAAAAAGGTTAAAGACGTAAAGAACAGATTTTGGAAATGTATTCTATGTAATATTATTTGTATGAAAATATACTTATGCTTCTTTTAATTTATTTATTGGCAGATTATAAATTTTAATTACAACGGTCATCATGAAACAAAACCTAACATTTGCTACTCTTTGGCCAGATGATAATGATTTTACGTCAATCGTTCATCCACATTGGCATAAATTTACTCAACCTGATCCATTGTATTATTATCTAGTAGGAATTTATATTGGTATTGTTGGCATATTAGCAGTAATGGGAAATTCTTTGGTAATTACATTATTTCTTTTGTAAGTTTTTGTTCAAAAAATTTGTATTGAGTGTTAACTGATAAATCCACATTTAAACATAATAAAAATGTAGAAAATAGATTTAAATAGTTGACGCATGGATAATTTTTCAATATGGTTATTAAATAAGGGAACTTTGATTGTGGTAAATTCAGTGAAATGTATTCTCTATTTATAAAACTTACGTTCAAAGTTAGAAATACGAAAGTAATTGCTTACATTACCTGACATAAAACTTCCATGTTTTGCGTCATATAGGAGTATCGCATACATTGAAACTGTGACTGATTTTATACATTTAGTTTGTGTTAACGCCTTAGTTCATTGCCTTCCAGTTCGTTTGCGATCTATGTTTACTTACAAATATATACTGCTACAAGGTTTTTAAAGTTACAAAATAAAAACGTACTTTCCTTCCTTCGGATCGATAGCTGATTGCTTGAACGGCACCTTTCGAAGAAATTACGTAATAGTCTCTTTCAGAAACTAATCTATAGGAATACTATTTCTTCAAATTAAATTCAAAAACGGAAAGTCAAGACTGATTGATAAGTCGTAGGGTGGTAGGACCGCACTAGACTAAGAGTGACTATTGTTTTTAACACTTTTATTAATAAACAAATGAGTTCGTATTTAAGCTTTATAGTGTTCAGTCAAAGCTATACATTTTAATAATCAGTCTGTAGTATAAATTGAACAACAAATCCTTTTATATAATAAAAAATCTCTTACTGTATCTAATTTTAATTATATATTTCAGATGTAAACAATTACGAACACCACCAAATATGCTTATAGTTAATTTAGCTATTTCTGATTTTTCTTTTGCACTTATCAATGGTTTCCCATTAAAAACAATCGCTGCATTTAATCACCGTTGGGGATGGGGTAAATTGGGTGAGTATAACTTTTACTTCCATTTATCTTATTTGCTTTTTGCAATTTTTACCATTTCAAATGTTGAAAACATTATTGGTTGTCTTCACATTTGTTTGATATATGAACTTGTGTATCACTTCATTTCAATGTAATTGATGTTTGAATAAGTAAAATCTACACAAAGATAGGTAAAACATGTACTAGTTGTTTTCGTGCAATGGAATCATAAATATTTTTTAAATTCCAAGTGTAAACTAAATAAAATTATCTTTCATTCGTGATCGAATGTCTAATCCAATAGATGATGATGAGTATAAATAAGATAAAAACTCGTATTGGCGCTTGTAACACTACAGACTATCATTTATCATAGATTTTCTTGCACAATGAATGGTAGGTTCAAAGAATTTACAATGACTCGTCACATTAATTCCAAGTAAATAAATGATCTCACTTAAGTCGTACTTTATATTTTTATTCCAAAAACGTATACATTATTCTGTAGAGTAAACGAATATTTGTCCAATATGCTGAAATCAGGTTCTGTGAAATTGCTTAAATGTATTTGAATGGATAATTGATCATGAAATAAAGTGTATTTGTGGTTTTTTGTAAAATTAAAAGTTTAAACACTTATTCTTCTGAAGCCAGGCTGAGAAAGATAACCATATATTGTCTGTTCATTTCCTTACAAATGACTTCGTTAAACTGCAATAAAATGTTTTTAGGTAACGAAAAAAATGGCGTTATTTCAAATCTTACTTGTGTTCATACACTGACAATCAATTTGTATAAAAATTTTTTTTTCGTTTCTGAAGCTTGTGAGCTGTATGGATTTGCTGGTTCAATATTTGGATTTATTTCACTAACAACAATGGCCTTCATTGCTTTGGACAGATATTTAGTAATTGTACAACCTTTTGAAACATTTTCTCGTATCACTTACGGGAAAGTTATAGTTATGATTTTTATCACATGGATATGGTCAGCATTGTGGTCAATTCCACCATTTTTTGGTTATGGTTAGTTGATCATTAATTTGCTTTTGTTTTAAATAAGATGTTTATATTTGGAAATTGTCATCATTCGTTAACCTATGAAAGAAATTTCTAAGGAAATATTTGGATTTCAATTGAACTAACGTAACAGCGAAAAGTTTCCATACTAACTATCGAAATAATGTTCAATTTAAATCTAAAAGCCATTAACCATCAAACATTTTGTATTTACTCATCAATGACTTGCATAAAGTTTTACAGTGGATTGTTATGAAAAGTGTATTCCTTTCACTATAATTGTGAAAAACGCTGAATAAGTTTCGCATATATGTTGCAAACCTAAATTTAGTTGGTAAGATAATCATCTCAGAACTTCTTTTTCTGCTTCTGACTATAAGATTTCTAATTACAATATAGTTTGTCTTAATGGACGTCTTTTCAAATAATTGAGAAAACATCTTCAATTTCTTTTAAGGAAGTATATTTTCACAGATAAAACAGCAATAAATAAATCACTTCATGATACGTTTAATCACATATTTAACCGGTAATTTGGATAATTAAATAATCAGTATGGTCACCGAAATTATACCAAGAAAGTGAGACAGCTAAATATTGCAGTATGATTAGATTTATATTTCTCGACACATAGAGTGAGTTCATTGCTAGAACTTTAGCTATAAGATTATCTCGCGCTTACATTAGTTAAGTGAAATGATATAAATAATAAATTATCGTTTCTATGATAATCCTACTAGAATGTTATCTTTGAAAATTTTGAAAATTAAAAGAACACTATTTACAATGATATCTACTCGGCCACTGAGTCATGATATCCACTTGTTTGTGCAATGGGCTGAAGTTTAAATTCATTCAGTATTAATTGTTTGAATCTTCCCATTGATGTTTTAGGACTGCAACTGGTCAGTCTCTAATTGGCATATATGCATACTGTGCGTATTGCCTCAATATAGCCTAAATTCGCAAGCATAGTAAGCAAAGATGGATAGTGGCTAGCAATAGAATCCAGGACGCTATACGCACAGTATGCACACATGCCGATTAGAGACTGACCAGTTGCAGTCCTAAAACATCAATGAGAAGATTCAAACAAACAATACTAAGTGAATTTAAACTTCACTCCATTGCACAATCAAGTGGCTATCAGGACTCAGTGGTCGAGTGAATAACGCGATGGCGTTTGAAGCGAAAGTTACTGGGTTCTAGTCCCAGAGTGAACATCAACTCTGAGATTTAGGTACATCCAGCTGACGAGACCCGAATAGGACGAAACGCGCTTCCTAGATTCCACTGCTAGTCACTATCCATCTTTGCTTACTATTTACAATGATTGATTAACATAACAACCGTCATTAAGCATGATGTTTTCTAAACGCTAATTTTTAGTGTATTTTTTCAAAAAATATAGAGTACATCATTGTATCAGTATACGTGTAAAATATTATTGAATGCAATTCCCCAAACACACAATTTTATTTTTATTTTCCAGAAACTACCGATTCCAACCCTTAAACAAAACAGTATCATAATTTAAAAAATCATCCATACTTCTCTTATATATTTATATCCTTTACGACCCACATAATAAATGGGTCAAAGAAGGAATAAATTGAATTTTGATATAAACAATATTCTAATTTCAATACACGATGCTTAATGTCTTAGAAACATGAGAGTAAACCACTAATATTATGTGAATTCGTATATAGTAACTAAATCACATGATCTTATATTATTTTACTGTTTTTCTAATGGATGAGTATCAATTTTGATTTTGTATGTTCATCACGTAACTGTTTTCATACAGTTTGTTTCTTTGATAGTACTTTATAAGAACAAGAATAGAGAAAATCTGCCTTAATCGGTGTGCTTGAAATCATCCAAACACATACAGGTTTTATAAAGAAGTCTTTCCCGAATATAATTTGTTAAAGATATTCGTAAAGTTATTCACTTTACTGATGGAAAAGATTATTGTTATAACTTTCATAATTACACGGATCTAACTTATATAAAAATGATATGACGATCATTCACGAATGGTATGTACAAATTTTTGTTAATAAGAGTAGGAAAAATGATGAAATCGACAATAATTACAATATTAGTATTGAAATAGCTACAATCATATTGATAATGAGGATGTTGTAAGCAAATGGGTTGGTAAAGTGTAAAAGATTCAAAAAATTTTTCGAAATATCAATAATAATTAACTTCATCTTACAATATTTGTTGCTCACCTTACAAATGTTAATTAGACAATGATTATTGTGAAATGATAAGTTATAGGCAAACAAGACTGTTATTCTGCAGGTAGCTTAATAAAGATTCCACTAGAAATTATCAACAATGTTATTTACCTTGAATTGTAATTTTTTATAAAACCGAAATTCAAGAGGACCAGCCATATTTAATCAAAATTTGATCATTGGTTTCTTAGCTTTATAGATAAGTTTTCACTCAAACACAAATTCAAATGAAACAATATATATACTGTTGAAATGTTAGATCTGAATCTAGAAATATGTTTGCTTAAATATTAACCATTTCTAAACATATTTCTAAGTATTATAAATTACCATAAAGAACAAGCTCTTGGTGTCCTTCACGTTCATTATTTTCCATTTAATTTTCAGACTAAGTAATTCTTTGATCTTAATATTTGTTATTCGTTTTCTTTTATTTCACATTCTACACAAATCATTATACCGGACAATTTAATTCTTCAGGAAGTTATATACCCGAAGGTTTTCATACATCTTGTACTTTCGACTACCTATCAACTGACTTACCGAACTTAATATTTAATGCAGGATTATACATATTGGGATTTCTTTGTCCTGTATTTATTATAATCTTCAGTTATTATCAAATTGTTAAAACAGTTAGACTCAATGAATTAGAACTAATGAAAATGGCACAATCATTAGATTTACAAAATCCATCGGCTATGAAAACAGGCAAGTTGGATAATATTCAAATATACTAAACAATATATGCATTTTTAGAAGCGATATATTTTACAAATTGTTTAAAAACTGTGTATTTATACATATATTTCATATATCTTATTGTTAGATCAAAGGTCTTTCGGTCATGAATTCGTTTCTCTAGGATCACTGTTGTGATCAGTAAAACAAAAATTTCCAAGAAGCTACAAGTTCCCTTGAACATTATTCAAAATATCTGAAAGATAAATTCAATTAACCTTATCAATAAGCAAAACTCTAATGTTTTGCTGAATTCAATGAAAGCTTAAGTTGGAAATATGGCTTTTAGGCATGACAGTTTTTACCATGTTCATCAAGTTATTCGTTCATTATCATTTAATAAAAAAGTAAATGCAAATAGATTTACGTATAATATTAAGTTTATGTATATTTATAGGAACTACATTGTTACTAATAGTATCCGCTTTTGACCATTTATTATACTGGTTAATCATCCATATGAATTACATTAATCTAAATTTAACAGTATTATTCACAATTCATTGTCATTATTTTGAAATAAATAAATAAATTGTTTGGTTAGATGAGTGAATTAACTTGAAAAAAACATTCAGAACTAAGTTGAGTGGTTTAGTTCAATTAATATCAGAAACTAATATTAATGCTGACCTATTTGATTTGATACGAAGTGATACAACATACAGATATTGACGATTTATTTACCATCTTGTTCGACTTAGGATTACGATTGTAATGACGACCAACGCAATAGAGAATTGAAAATTTTCAAAAAAGATAAATAATTTGTTATTTTATTATAAGAACTGGTTTGAAGTTTACTGATTCTATAAGGACTGAATTTCACTTTGGTAGCTTCTTTAAACATTATCAACGTCAACAATAAGTAATCTGATGGTGTGATAAAATAATTCAAGACCTTATAAACCTGACAAAATTAGTTTGAAAATTTTATTTATTTATTCATTTTATTTATTTATGCTTCCCCATGTCAGTCGGACTTCAATCAGTTTTAGTATGATAAGTATTTGTCACAACTAAGTATTCTGTTTTACTAAAAGAATAAATTCCCGTTTGAGGTCACGAATGGCTGGTCATCAATTTTAGAAACTGGGATTTATAATTTTACTTGTATTTCGTCAGCCAAATGTCTCATAAACTTCTTAATGTTACTTTGTTTTTTTCAGGTGATAAGAAAGCAGATATTGAAGCTGCTAAAACGTCTATTATTCTTGTTTTTCTCTATTTAATGTCATGGTCTCCTTATGCCATTGTGTGTTTAATGACACTGATTGGAAGTAGAGATTCGTTAACTCCATTCCACTCTGAACTCCCTGTGTTATTTGCAAAAACATCTGCTGTTTACAATCCTATTGTATATGCAGTCAAACATCCTAAATTTCGTATGGAAATCGAAAAACGTTTTCCATATCTTATTTGTTGTTGCCCACCTAAACCAAAGGTATGTAAAACACGTTACAAGTTTATTATTTCTTGTTATAACATAAAAATTTATTATTAAATATTTAAAACCTCCTGTCCGTGATATTTATTTGATAATTGTTTGTACTCTTGATATCTATAAATCTCATTTATTTTGTGGTGTGGTCTACTTATATTCATATAAGTAGTATATGGTGTTGGTCAGACATAGAATGTATTTTGGCAGAAGTCCGATAAGGAAAGAACTGAAATAAAGCGCAATTGATAGGAAAATGCATAAACAATGGAATTATAGAAGAAACAGTGAAGATTGAGACAATTGCTTGTTAATTTGCAAATTAACTGTTCATTGTATGGTTATCACAATTTGGTGAGATAGTCTATAATTTTTGCTTCATTACACCCAATTGTCCCCAACCAGTGTTCCGTTCACTACAATACTTCTGAAACTGGATTGTTTATCTCATTCACTAACTTCATTTGATGAATAAAACGACTAATGATTATTCAATGCCACAGTTTAAACAGCATTTGTTGAGTCAAAGTTTATTCATCTAAATAACCCCAACTAACACAATAACATTCTTGGAATTAAATGCATACACTTCACTGATACATATTTGAATATATTTCCATATTCTACAAGCTTTTAGTGTACTAAATATAAGTAAGTTCTTTTATATGCGGTTACTTGTTAAAGTTGACGAAAGGTAACTATACTAGCCAAAAATATATCATAAACAATGCTTTCATATGAAGTGACAATTAACGTCATAAGAAATCTCTCATTGTTATTGTTTTCCATTTTCAGAAATTTTGTCGTCAATTTGTAAAACATTTACTAATTAAAACAATTAATTATATAATGTAGATTGATCTCTTATTGATGTTATTATATTTAGTTATCCTTGTTATAGTGTTTATTTACAGTTGGAAACCTTTTTCTGAATGTATGAATGTGTTATTACATAATACCATATTATTGTATAAAATTATTACATTTTCATATCACATAGGAACATTAAAATAACTGATCATTTTTGTTTATTATATAATGTATTTTTTGTTCTTTTCCAAGACTAAGATATATCAATATTGAAACTACAGTAGTGTGCTAACAGACTTTTGATGACGAATTTATGTTGAAAAATTATTCGATAACTTTTAGTATGAAATTTTTCTAAAAGTGATTATTTATACATTGAAGGTAGATGACTTAAGGTAAAATATGTTTTTGTAATTAGTCCTGACTTGTATTGACAATATATGTAATAGTTAATCAAACTCATAAATATATCTTATCAGATAGGCACATATTAAAAAAAGGTTGATTTACTACATTTCAAAAGTTCACTTATTGATTTCTGATGTTTGTAGAAGCTATTTTAATATTACTTTGATTGATGGATGTAAAAATAATTTCGAATGACTTGTACTGTACAATAGTGTACTATACTTTCTTAATGTAATAGACAACACATGAGTACAGTGATTGAAATGAATTTCTGTCTTAATGGATAAAGTAAAATATTAAATCAGCTTCTGGAAATAGTTCTTAATATACTGATACTTTCCCGTTTCGTCTGCCAATTTTACTTTCCGGATAAAGAAAACTTGTGAAGTCACGGATCAGTTGCTTTAAGATCCAATTTTTTAATCAGTTGTCACTTAAGCTTATTCTCATAGAAGTCACATTTTATTTTAACTTTAAAAGTGTGATAAGTATACAATGCAGATTCTTCTACCCAAAACATCGCCACTCAATTCTTTTGTAATTAGTTATATTTAGACCTGAATCCCCACAAACAGTGCTTTAATGGGTTATATAATGTTTTTACAGTGAGTAATTAGACATAAATTATTTTAGTAATTAGGTTCAGAATATATTAAGAGCTTGAGTTACGAATTAATAAACAAATTGAATATCTTTCAACACCCCATCCTAGGACTTTTTTCGATTCCATTTAAAAACATTATATTAACTTCTAATAACCCAACTCAAGATAACCAGTTCGGAACAACAATAAAATAATGTAACCATGACCTTCAGTCAAACTTGTACTATGATTTTCTTAACTCAGCATTCAACAAATAAGAGTGGAAACTAAAACAGAATTTTTTTCACTACGTGGTGATTTATAGGACTTTTAATCTGTTCTTGGAAATCGACCATTGAAGATTTCACAACCAGACAAATATTTTTTAAGTGATTCAAATATACATTTGGAGCATAAATGATTTCCTAACAAACCTATAAGAAAGGATTTTATTTTAACGATTTCTTTATTACCTATCATTATTTTCAGTAGGCAGTTATATTTTTTCCAAAGAAAACAGTCTAATGTACATAGTTTAAGTTCATTGTGAACAAAATCGATATAGAGAAGAACTAGATGCATATTTTGTAAACTTTTGTGCTAACTGATACAGAGTTATGAATACAGATCAATGATATTCAGTATTAAATGTCATCAGAGTGAAGAAAGGAAATACACGGCTCAGCTTCAAACAAATTTGAAAATGACTCGCATTTTTTCTACTTTCTGAACAAATAAATTAGCTCGATTTGGAATGGCTTAAAATATCCGGCTGATATTATTTTTTCACTGGAATTCGATTAGTCTCGGTTGACACCTGGGCACCCTGTGCAACTTTCTTCAATATAACCTCATTCCATCTATTCTATATAAATAAACATCAATCTTTACTGCGCTTAATACAATATTTTGTGTCTTCTTGTAATGATTTTCAGTTCAAATTTAAATGAATTCATTTTATTCCACAAACCATAACATTCTTACTTTGTCAACCTTAAAAATGAATGTATATTTCATGTTCTATACTATAAAGATGGTTCAAAATATAACCGTTTGCTGGTCCGTAAATCTTAGTAAAAATGACTATAATAAATATCTATAAAATGATAAATACGTAGTTTCATTGATGAATATATTTTTCCTGAATTTCATAAAACAATATGACCATCCTTTATATTTGTAGATCACTATAATATCTACCTCTTAATTATCATAATTGAAAAAAAGACAAATGCATCACATTGAGAATGAGCACGTTCATCATCTACTTAATCCCCTATAATGACCCGATTTTATATTTTGCCCACATATATATTTATATATATCATTCAAATTATGGGTGTAATAATATTTTTAGTTGCTATGCCATACTTAAACACTCAACTATATACTTAAAACTTTCTACAATTTTGTCCAATGTAAAAAAAAAAAGAAAACAAAATCATTATACCTTTACATAAATCTATACGTTTATAACTTACATTTTTAATCTTTTAACATAATAATGTTTTGATGTAAGTTTGTTCTCTGAGCTGGATGGTTTGGTCGTGGAGCTTTCATCGTCCTTCTGAACGACATCATCAGCACAAACTTCGGGTAAACTTCTATCCAAAGTCTGTGCTGATGATGTCGTTCAGAAGGACGATGAAAGCTCCACGACCAAACCATCCAGCTCAGAGAATAAACCTACATCAAAATCACCCACCTAATCTACAAATCTTTTCCACCATCTCAACATTATAATGTTTCAGATTTGAAGAAGTAAAATAAATGAAAACAATGAAGTGAATAAGAATACTAATTATAAATAATAAGAAAATATAGTAAATGACTTACTATAATCTTCTTCTTTTATATAATTATTTATTTAATTTAAAATAATATTACAATTAGTTGTCAAGTGTATTATGTTCAATAGAATGTTTTTAATTTGATTAATTAATGTATAATTGATATAGTTTTTTTGAATAGAGTCATTTGTAGAAAATACTCGAATATTTAAAAGACAAAATATAAATAAATAATAAATAAATAATTGTTCAATATATTGTTTCCATTGTTTAACTTCCAATCAAATTTTATCTTTCATTAAAATGGTACCTCTCACTTGTATAATTAAATAAATAATTTTAAATTTATTTTATTATTTTTGTTGGTAGTTTTCCATGTAAATGGGATCATTTTCATGATAATTTATACTGTACTAGTGACACATTAAATAAATAAATAAATAAAATGTTATCGATATGAACTGTTATATTTTGTTTTTCTCTATGTTGACAGAATTTTTATCATTCTCATATCCATTTAAACTTTGACCAATTAGAAAATAGGTCAATATATATAGAAAATAATGTTCATAGTAAAAATTCTCTTCTTTTTTTATTTTTGTCCTGTTCCCTTTTTTTTTAATTTTATTACAGGAATAGTCATCCGTTTAAGTGAATGTATTTATTTGATATGAGTGTATATGTCTATATACACATTTATTTATATGTATGTAATTAAATGTAATCGAGTACAATTTATTTACATTAAATTTAATAAGTAAATAAAAGGTAAATCGAACAAATGAATAATATAAGAAGTTAATTTATTCAACAGCAAAAAAAAAACGGAATAGTGAAATTATTTTTAACATTTTCAATTTACAAGAAAGAAAAAAAAGAAAAAGAATGGTGTTTTTGAGAAAACATTTTTGTGCTAAAACATTCCGCTGATTACTTCTATTAATTATAATTTAATCTATATATTGAACCTTAGTACAGTTGTGAACGAGAATACAAATGGGGATATGTTTGTAAAATCTAAGAAAATAGTTCATTTGCAAAATGTCAATCAATCGTCTCAGACTTTGTTGTTCCTTCGTTTTCACACTAATCATTCACTGTTCTCATTCTCTTTTCTTCAATCTTCTTGACATTCTGCTTTCAGGCATTTCACTTTCGATTGATGATACATACTACTTATATCTGTAGGCACCAGTAGTACATACTACAGTACTCTTTTTTAATGATATTCACAAACATATAACATGTTTGAATAATATTTAAATTTATCGAAAAACCGCTTTCATTACAGAAAACTAAACTATATATAGTTCACTACTTTATTTGAAGTTCATAAATTACTCAAACGTAATACACGCATGTAATAATAAAGTCAATCCAATCTATTTTTTAACTGAAAATCTCTTGATTAT